AAAATGTTGCCATGAGAGTTTAGCAAATACTATATTTTTCTGATGTTTCTCAGTGTGAAGTTGTTTTGTGAGCAGTGTCAAAAGCGTGACATTTTTCTGACAGACCAGATTGGATTTAAGATTACTGAAAGCTTTAAAAATGACTTGCAGAAAGATCAGATAAGGCCGCATTGATGGATTACCTTGGATATGAGTGGTGTTAAGCCCTGTCACTCACCGACTGGGGCCAGATAAATGTGTTTAAGAAGTCTCAGAATGTCCCTCCCAGTCCCTTAAGTCATACTGCACCCCATGTTGATTCTTGGCTGCTCACGAACACAAATATCTCAGGCTCGGGACGCTTGAGATATCAGGTCAGCCAGCATAAACAGACAGACAAAGCATTCCTACACTGGGAGGCAATCAAGAACAGCCTGGACCTCAACAAGTCATTCATTCTTACTCAAGGACACGATATTGTCTTCTTTATAATGTTTTACCAGTTGTTTAGAATCAGCATAATGTCAATCAATAAATCAGTTTTTATTAATACAGCTCTTTTCAGACAATAATGAAACATAACGTGCTTTGCAATTCAGCATGTAATACTGATTTATCTGAATTAATCTGAAATTATGACTCTCCATGTTTAATCCTTGTGCACCAGCAGGGGCCCAGTCCCTGTGCTCCTCAGAATCCCAGCAGGAAGCCAGTCCCTGTGCTCCTGAGAGTCCCAGCAGGAGGCCAGTCCCTGTGCTCCTGAGAGTCCCAGCAGGAGGCCAGTCCCTGTGCTCCTGAGAGTCCCAGCAGAAGGCCAGTCCCTGTGCTCCTCAGCTGTACTTTGAGGCAAGGCCATGGGAAGTTGAACAGTCAGGTCATTCATGTTATACATCTGAGGCTATAGCAATATCTCTTAATGCTAAAACCATGTTTGCCTTTTTTTCTGCGTTCCAATGGCTGAACAAAGGGGTCTAATCCGAGCCATCACATCAGTTCACACTTACCCGCATGAGGTTATACAACAGTGTGGCGGACTGGCACAAGACCAGCCATACAAGCCCCGGCCGGGACATGACCAGGTTGACATGAGGTGAGGAATTTAAGCAGTGATTTTTCTCACAAAATCATGGTTACCGCCACTCATAAGCACTGCAATATACCTCTGAAATGTCCCCACTGTGGGACGAATAAAGGAATATCTTATCTTATCAATATTCTGCAATGTACTCCAATATACTGCAATATCTGCAATGTACTGCAATATCTGCAATGTACTGCAAAATGTCCAAGTGAGAAAACTGTCTGTATCAACATACAATAATAAATGTATTATAAATTTATAAGTAATAAACCAGGATACATCTGAAAACTCACGTCTCTCCCTCTCTGATGTACATAAGTGAATTTTGAGAGGACTTCTCTTTCTCTCTTTTTCTGATCTTTCAAATATATTTTTACCTTTACAAGAGTCTTTCTGTAGGGTCACAAATATATTGTCGATGAAAACAAACAAAGTTAGGCACCCCAGCAGCAGAGTAATAGAAATCCGATCAATATTGAACCACACTTGTGTCTTGAGGAAATGTATGAGACATGTTTTGTTTTTCCCACACTGACTGCCTTATATGGGAACATTTTTGCTGTTTATTTTCATTATCATTAACTCAAACGTAGGAAAGTCTTGTTCACCCGTTTGTGTTGTTGCTTCAGTGTCGCATTGACCTCGAGGTAAAGGGAAAGTTAGTATTGGCATGGCACTGCTAGTTTGTAATGTTTGTTCAACCTGTTTGGATTAACCACCTGACAAGAACTCAGAGGAAGAGCAATGTGTGTTCAAAAAAGAATAAAATACATCAACAAAAAGTTTCACACAAATGTACTTTTACTTATGAAGCTTTCCAACGGTCTACAATACAGACGGCTGATTATTTTGGCGTTGTCTGGGATCCTGGTATTTTCTGTCTGCAGCAGATGTTTTCTCCGAGACTCAGACCGCAACTATAGATAGAGCATAATTACGGCTCTGAGTACAACCTGCCATGCCCTCTTTATGTCAAGACGCATATTCACTAAAGTCTCCTTCACACTCTCTCTGGGAAAAACATACAGCAAAGAAACACATACCTTCGTAAAACACTGACACATAATCTGGGGTGCCACAATGTAATGTCATTATTTAATCAAATCCATCCATGTCCTCACTCTCAAAACAGTTTCTAGCACTAGTTTTAACACGCATGTATTTTTTGGACTCTGAAGCATTTTTAAATCAGCTTTTTCAGACAGAAAAGGGAAAAGAGAGGAAATAAAGGGTTGGATTTGACAAGAAAAAATGGGTATATTTACTATATACTATACTATAATTATTACAACTTCTTTAGTGGAACCAGTCTTATAAATAGCACTTTTTAAAACCTTTTTCCTCATTCTATAGTAAAAAGTAAAGTATGACTTATAAAGTATTTTTGAAGTATTTTATTTTATTTCCGGTATTATGGAAAATATTAATGCGGCTATTTGATAAGCAATCTACTCATTTTTGTTACATTGTTTTTGGGCGGCACGGTGGCTGAGTGGATAGCACTCGCTCTTCTCAGCAAGGAGGTCCTGGGTTTGAATCCCGGTCGGAACAGGGCCTTTCTGAGTGGAGTTTGCATGTTCTGCCTGTGTCTGCATAGGTTTCCTCCAGGTGCTCCGGTTTCCCCCTACCACTAAAAACTTGCACAATAGGTATGAATGTAAATGAGAGAGTGAATTGATCGTGTTTGGTCGGAGCCTTTGATGCGCCACTGTGTTCGACGACTCGCTTCCGTCATCACCGAACTCTGAGCAATTGTAAAGCGCTTTGGGTGACCTTGGTCTGTAAAATGCACTATAAAATAAACATTACTTGCTCACTTACTATTCTGTTCGGTTTTAAACATTGGGTCCCAAGCTTTTTACTCTGCTTCACTGGTGACATCATCTGCCTTTAAAGCTTTTGAATTGTTAGAAGAAAAAAAAAATCCTCTTTGTGGGATTTGAGAAACCAGTGACTGACTAATCCCTTTCCTTTTAACTACAATCGGAATCATTTAACACCCTGGCTGTAAGTCAGATGACAAACTATATCCACCCTGTGTGAAAGCGGAGCTGCAGAGTATGGCTTCCATTATTGAAGACCGATCCATCAAAAGTTATATGACTGAAAGAACAACACAGAAGCTGCGCAGGACTGACTGCCGTTCAAGAAGACGATAGGAGACGATAGGAGACAGATGCAGACAGACGTAGCGTGAATAATTCCATGTGTGGTCTGCTTGTGCTGGACATAAATTTCCATAGATAGGCAAAGCTAGATTAGAATGGAATGAGACTAAAAAGAGAGCAATCCAAAGTCGTCTGTCTTAATTCCCACAAAGCCAAACTTATTCTGTGCTGTATTTAAACATGTTATCTACACAGTCACAAACTGCACTTTAACCCTTTAATAGTCACTCCTAGAATGAAGGCAATTAAAATTTTTTGTCTTTGATTTTCTAAGATGTGGTAGTACTAAGAACAAACTTTTTTTAACATCTAGTTTTTAAATTAGACTTAGACAGACTTTATTGATCCATAAGGGAACAGTAGCTTGCATAGTGTTTTACAATAATAATAATAATTTAAAAAAGAGAAATCTAGTAACAATCTGAAAATAATAATAATAATATAATATTGTGAGAATAGAATAATCTGGATGTAGGTGTCTACAAAATAGTTCAGATGCAGCTTGGTGGTAAAAGTGCCTTAAAACCGAGTGATAGAGATGCTCCAACGAGGTAGATTTCAGTTCCAAGCAGAAAGAGTGACTCAAAAAGTGATCCACCAAATGGTTGAGAAGAAGAATATACAAGTAATAATAAATAACATATTGACACACGTTGGCTCATTCCTTGTGTTTATGTTTCTACAATAGTTACAGCTGATTTAGAAGAGTGCAGAGGCAGAGTAGGGACATTAGTTTCATCCCAGTGCAGAGGAAAGCAGCTCAGATCTCCTGTTGACGTTGACAGCTCTGTGACACGGATTAAAGGGTCATTGTAAATAATATGGCTCTGGACTTCTCTCCTGCTTTCCCCCAGTCATATTTGTACAACTTAGACCTGTGAGAATAGAGCCACACAAAGCTCTTTCTTCTTCAATTTTCCTTGGACAAAAACAAAGTGTATTCATGTTTTTTTGTTTGCTTTTTTGTTTATAAAGGAGCTGGTTTCAGTACAAATAAAATGTTTTTGATTTCTGTTAAACGATATTTTAAGCCAAGTCGCTTATTTTTGCATTAGCCTTTTATCAAACAGCTGTGGCACAGAACATCTGAGTGAGGGCCACTTGATTATTACATGTTACACATTCTTCATTTACTCACATGCATTTGGGGTCAGTTTGTGTACGACAGAGAAATATAACTGAGAACACACTTACACAATAATAGGTGAAAGAAACAAACTATATTTTAGAGTCTGAAACGAGTAACATAGACTTATTACACAGTTTAGTTTTTGTGGTTTGAAAGTTATGCATTTAAAGTTATCTTTAAATTAATATTGATAGTGTTGATTAATAAGGTTTGGGAACATTCAATATTCAGATGGTTGTCGTTTGAATACAATCTTTCCAGGAGAAAGTGTCTAAATCAGAGCATGCATCAATGGCACTTACATGAATTAAAAACTTTCCAGAGCACTTAGTGACATAAACTTAAGACTTGTGCAGTTTTGGGGTTTGCAGACACACCCTGCTCTAACTATCAGTGCGCAGAGAGAGAGAAGAAAAGGCGCATAAAGCCATGCCTTGACTGTATCCTCAGCACAAATATGTGAAGCTCGTCCTCAGACTGACGTCAGGGCTGCTGCAGATCCTCTGGATCACACGGACACAGCCCGGCCACAGCCCGGCCACAGCTCACTCACAGCGGGACGGGGATGGAGCTCACCTGCGCGGACACGCTGTGACAAACGGCTGGATTATTCTGGATTCAATGCATTTTCGCCTCACCAGTGATGAGTTGGCTCCTGGGGTGGATCCTAACAGTTGCCGCGACTCAACAGGTGTGTGAGATTTTTTCTTTAATACATTTACAAATAGTCTACGAATAATACTATATTAGAATATCAAGAATATCCTGTCTGACTTTAGGTAAGTCATTGGTGACATCTCGGGCTAAAATGTTTACCACAAAATGAATGCATTCATAACAAAATGGATTTCTATAAACGTTTGCACGATGAGATGGACTTTCCCCTTTGTATTTACTTTTCCTCTTTTTTTTTTTCTTCCTGGATTAAAGGTTGACCTTCAGGCTTATTTACAGCTCCCGTGTCAGCACTGTTGCTGTCTCAATCATTATCATCTATTATCTTGGCGCTGGACTTTACTCAACTACTGCTGTCAATCTTATCTTTAACGATGCAATGCTGCCACCATGTGGCTCCTTGAAGGAGTGTTTAAGTATATCCTCATTTAATCACCACACATCCCCACCCCTCCCATTTCCACTATATATTTTACATTATGTCTATTTAGGTATGCTATATTGAATGTCTAGAGGTTTGTGAGGAGTCAACATGTTTAAAGAGCAGTTTATCCCAGCTCTTCTCAGGGGCTATGGTCTTGGTCTGGCATGTCTTTTCTGCAACATGCACACTGTTTTATTTTATTTTTTATCTTTAATGTGTAATCTGTTTTTCCCACCAACTCTGTTCTACTCTCTACTCTCATCATCACAAAATGTCAGATTTCAAAAGAAAAGTGAATGAAATGCTTGGTTTCCACCTGCAGGTCCTCACACAGAACTACTCGACCATGCCCCCCACGACTGCAGTCACCGACTCCTTCAGTCGCACCCAGTTCTGTAAGTGGCCCTGTGAGTGTCCTCAGCGGACCCCGCGCTGTCCGCCTGGGGTCAGTCTGCTGATGGATGGCTGTGACTGCTGCAAGGCCTGTGCCCGGCAGGTGGGCGAGGGCTGCAACGAGGCCGACACCTGCGACTACCACAAGGGGCTGTACTGTGACTACAGCGGAGACAAGCCTAGGTACGAACAGGGAGTGTGTGCATGTAAGTGTCTCTCTCTGTTAAACTACAAACATGTGCTTATATAACCACACTTTTTTACAATGATTACAGTTCATCACTTTAGATAATTTAATATATTTGTTACGTACAAAAGCATCTTTCACTTCAATTATAGTACATAGTCTAGTAAACAAACTTGAACCAAAATTTTGCTTATATTAGGATACATGAATCTTAATTTGTGTATTTTGACTCCATTGGAATACAAATCTTTCAAAGATTTCAATATTAAACTTTATTCATTAATTTGAAGAGAACGTCATTGATGTTATTCTTCTTGTTGTGTTTATACATACTGATTGTATCTGGTTAAATATGTTCTGTAAAATATTAATGTACTTTGTAATTGAGAATGCTGAAGGCTATGTGTTTTCTAACATCCTTTTGCTCCAATATTCCTCTCAGATATGGTGGGAACAGGCTGTGAGCATGACGGTGTGATCTATCGAAATGGACAGAGCTTCAAGCCCAGTTGTAAATACCAGTGTGTCTGTGTGAATGGGGCCATCGGCTGCGTATCGCTCTGCACTGAGTCACAGCCTCCGCGGGTTTGGTGCCAGAGTCCCAGACGGGTCAAGATCCGGGGCCAGTGCTGTGAGAAGTGGATCTGCGATGAGCCCAAGAGAGGGCGCAAAACGGCCCTGCGGCACGCCATAGACGGTGAGTCCCATAAACGGTGATCCACAGTATCCAGCTATTTGTCAAACTCATGAACTCGTGAGGAAATATTGATTTAACAGTTCATCAGGTTTGGTGGTTATTCTGAAGTCCACTTTTGTGTTTTGTTAGTTCAGGGTGTGCACACTTTCGCTCTGTACAATGACCTTCATAAAGTGAAAAACACTTTTATTCTCCCGATCATAGTACTGATGAAGTCTCTCCATAGCGTCACACCAAAGTACATCTGTGATATGTTAGTGCCATATGAAGCAACTCGGACTCTGAGAAGCACAGGGACTGGCCTCCTGCTGGGACTCAGAGGAGCACAGGGACTGGCCTCCTGCTGGGACTCTGAGGAGCACAGGGACTGGCCTCCTGCTGGGACTCAGAGGAGCACAGGGACTGGCCTCCTGCTGGGACTCAGAGGAGCACAGGGACTGGCCTCCTGCTGGGACTCAGAGGAGCACAGGGACTGGCCTCCTGCTGGGACTCAGAGGAGCACAGGGACTGGCCTCCTGCTGGGACTCAGAGGAGCACAGGGACTGGCCTCCTGCTGGGACTCAGAGGAGCACAGGGACTGGCCTCCTGCTGGGACTCAGAGGAGCACAGGGACTGGCCTCCTGCTGGGACTCAGAGTTGGGACTATTTTCAGTTTCAACTCAGATCTGGATCAGTTCTGGGAGACTTACTATGACAACATTTATATCCAGCCTGTTTTACCACCATTTTATCTACACTTTTATCTTTAGTACTGAGTTTCAAATTTGATCATATTCATTGAAATATGTATTAGTTGAGAATGTATTAGATTTGTAACATATTTTTCTAAATCGCATTGCACATACTATACTTTATCAATCCTTGCATTTGAATTTCTCTTTCAGTTCTTCCACTTAGGAGCCAAAGCTGGCACAAAAACTGCATCACCCAAACGACCTCTTGGAGCCCCTGCTCTAAGTCGTGTGGTCGTGGTGTTTCCTTGAGAATCTCGAACGATAACGACAGGTGTGAGCTGCTGAAAGAATCAAGACTGTGCAACCTGCGGCCCTGCGAGGTGGACATCACCAAGCACATCAAGGTACCACACTGCTACTCATTATTCATTCATTTTCTTCCCCTTTATTAATCAATTTCTGGGTCATGCTCATAGCCCCAGTCCTGCTAACTTTATTATTACTATTGTCATTCGCTCATTAATATTAGACGGCCTTCCTTTTAGCCGGGTAAAAAGTGTCTGAACATCTACCGGGGAGAGCAGCCATTCAACTTCACCATCTCCGGCTGCAGCAGCGTGAAGCAGTACAGGCCCAAGTACTGCGGCGTGTGCACGGACGAGCGCTGCTGCATCCCCTACAAGTCCAAGACCATCGACGTGGACTTCCTGTGCCCCAATGGCTCCAGCTTCACCTGGAAAATGTTATGGGTCCAGGCTTGTTTTTGTAACCTCAGTTGTAAAAACCCAAATGATATCTTCCAAGACCTTGAGAGTTACTACAGCTATCCAGAAGCCATGGACTGACCATCTTGTAACATTTGGGGTTTTTTTCTGTTGGAAATCTATATTAAGAATTAGACATGCATTTTATATGATGCAGTACAAATATAATAACAAATATAGAGTTTAATTTATATTGCATTATTATTAAATTAATTTATATTGCTTTGAATTACAGTTGAGATAAATATTCATTTATAGAGTGACGCACCCAATGTTTTATCTATGTAATAAAATAAATGGAGAAAATGTTTAGATGTTTTTATTGTATTTTTTAATAAATACAAACTTGAGTAATCGTTATGCATTTCTACAGCATTAGACACATGAATGTTGCATCTTTACAAAGCTTTTTCAAATGTTCTACAACGCAAATGTTGCTTTAGTGCAAGTATTACATGTGGTAGTATAGTGTGTTGGGTAAGTTCTACTGCTATGGTGTTGTTAACATGTGGACGCCGAGACCCTCACCCACAAACCCACCACCAGATCAAAAAGAGCAACTTGCCTAAAGTTCATCATGGCACATCTTTGTTCCTATTGCATAGCGATCACAACAAACGCGAGGAAGGGCTAAAGTCTTAACAAAACATACTGTAAAATGAAAAAAAAAATTCTGAAATGATTCAAAGTTATCAGAAAGAGGTTACATCAAAGTGGTGTACGATGAAACATTTTCTGTATACACAAGATATTAGGTTTTTCCCCTATAAAAAACCGCTCCTACACACCTAACTTCTCCTCAGACGTAAAAGTAAAATAGTGGTAATCATTAACAGACAGAAAAGACATGTTTGCCAAATGAATATATGGTAGATTAGAACAGCCACAGCTTTCTTCTGTGTCCCCATGTGCCAGGTTGCCTCTAACTGCACTGGCTTTCAAATACATTTTTAATTTAAACTGGTTTTGCCGACAAAGTCCATCCTGTGGAAAACGGCAATATAAAAAACAGGTATATCCAAGAACAAATGGCTTTAGATGAGGACCGAGTGTATCAACTCCACTTTCTGTGAGAATCAGATCGTGCAGTTAGGGGGAACGCAGCAGCGACTTGAGGAGCTCTGGAGGTCGTTCCACTTCTGCTGAGTGATGTCTAGCAGGACACTTCGGTGGACTTGGGCACGGATTGGTCCACACCGTCCATGGCACCTTCTGTGTGAGAGCGCCCCCTCTCTGCGGTCTGACTGCGGCTGCGGCTGCCCTCGTTGGTGTGGGAACGTGAGCGGTTGCCGTCGTGTGTGTGAGAGCGGGAGCGGTTTCCTTCCATGGAGGCGATGCTTGAGCCCGAGGCGGTACGGGAGCGCACCAGACGGGTCATACTGGCAGAGGGCACTGCGGAGGACATCAGAAAATTGGTCTCACACAAATAAGTTCATCCTAATCAAAATAACTCAATATGAAGCCAAAAATCTAAAATATTTTGGAAGTTTATCTTTGTATCTACTACACAGCCAAAAGGTTAACTAGAGGAAACTAGATAGTACCAGAAACATTTTATTGAAAATTGCCTCTCATCAAATAAATATTAAGAATGTGTCCATAAATGTTATAAATGAATTCATTTAAGCTGAAAATAAATCTAAATTCAGAAAAAAATTATATAAAAAACTTAATTTACTTGAAACTGATGGTGGGTTCTCAATAAATACAGTCTATGGTCCTGACCTGTGTGTTTTGCTGAATATTATACATTGATTCACTAAATGTCTATTACAAAAATGGTGTTTTGTATAATTTATACAAATTCAACTGTATAATTGCTTTCAGTGTTTTATTTATCAATTTATTGATCCCCGCTTTTGGTTCTGTATTAGTAGACCTCAACAGGAAATAAGCTGGTACTATTGTCTCCCAATGACCCTCGGATGAACTAACACGTGTAACTATTTTTTTTACCACAAGGGGGCGATCCTCTTATGAGCTCTGTTCATCATCTCTTCAATGAAAAACAAAATACTCACTGTATCCCATGCCTTGGATGAAGTACTTGAAGGCTTCAGTCAGTTTTGCAGGCTGTAAAAAAGTGCAGACAATAATTAGCTCCACTAATTTCCTCAGCTTTGTGATATGACAGCTGCTATGAACAGGTGTGAAGACGCACAGCAGGGGATTAAAACTGTGGTCCCAGTCTGCCACTTGGTAATGCTCTTACCACCTTCTTACACTATCCAACCCATTGCTGATTACACAGATCTTTCTCTGCACAACAGCTTGAAATATAATGCATTTCTACACACCTGATCGACCTGGGGCATGCCTCCGCAGTCGGCCATCTGGAGTGAAAGGAGAACACATCATTAAAATCTGCCCATGTTTACATTCTTGCAACAGCTGACACACACACAATTGCCCTCCATTATACTCAACAGGTCTCTCAGAACATGTCAAGCACCTCGTCCTACTTAAACCCAATCAGAGGCCATCAACAATATGGACTCCTAACCCCGATGTAGCACGCCTGCCGCGCACTAACTGTGCTGTGGTCGTAAAAGGCCGCCATAGGGCCACATAAGTAGGTCACTTGAGACAGAAAGCGGCCTGAGCAGTAACATGCAAACACACGTCGGCTCTGAGGACACGCTCTATCTGAGGTTAATTAGTTACCAGGTAAATGCTGAGCCATTGGAAACTTGTGTTAATTTCCATCTCATTGCTTATCTGAACGAGGACCCGAGACCAAATGCCAATGAAAGGGTCTCACCTTAAGCAATGTAGTCTTGGTAGGGTCCAGCTTGGTGTTGCATTCAACCTGTAGTTACGAAATAGAATGAATTAGAAACAGAAACAGATTTTATGATTGGGAAATGTCAAATTGTCCTTAATACCTTACAAAAATGTTCTCAATTTATATACACACCATATTTATTATTACAGTGCTTGCCGGACTGTTGAGCACACCTGTGTATAAACTGTTGCTTATTGTTACTATTGTTAGCTTTTTAGAATGATAAAATGTATTTTTTATTTTTATTTTGCTGCTACTGGACACCTGAATAAAGTATCTATCTATCTAGACTGAACCTGCTGAATTTGAAGAGAAACTAAAAAAAGGCCGCACTTGAATACAATCGACAGCTTATGGAGCAAAACAAACGATAGACGACATGATTTCAGGATTTAAACACACTGTTGACTTGTGAGGATCAAAGCCCTTTGGTAAATTCAAGCTACAACCTCAGCTCTGGAGATCAACAGCCGATAGAGGAAGGATTCTGGACACGGCTCTAACAATATTAAAATACATCTATTGGCCAGATCTCTGTACAAAACTATTGTCAGAGCACATTTACCCGAGTGTTTTGATTTTGTTTTAATAGCTAGACAAAAGTAGTGGCTTATAGCACTGCAATTCCGGTACTTACAACAGCTTCAACTGCCGGAGAGTTATCACCAACCACCAGAAGAGAATGGCACCTAAAGAAAAAACAATCCATTACTCTTCATGCAAAAGCTTTTCATCAGTATTCAGTATGTGTCTCCTTTTCAATGACAACATACTTGAGAGTTCTAATGTTGCTTCCAGGGACAGGTCTTTCAATTTCAAGATCTCTACGACTGGAAGGAAACAGATTTAGTGAGAAAACGGAAATCCCTTTAAGCATTCAGACTTGAACTAAAGTTTGTGCCTCACCTTTCGTACGACTTGACAAAAAGATGGAGGTTAAACTGGTTCATGGTGTTCAATATGTGGTGGCGGTACGTGGCGATCAGGTCGTGGTTGTGGTTGATCTCCTCCTACAACAAGCAAAAAGTAAATTCAACATCTGCTTTGGACCAAAAATAACAGGAAGTGGAGATGAACGCACCTTTCCAAAGAGGTGGCTGATGATGGTGTCTGGCTCAGCATGAGTCCAGCCACTGATCTAAACATATTTATACATATTATATACTTTATCATGGTATGGATATTGTGTTTAATTAATGTTACGCTTTACAAACCTTGTGTGCAGCCCAGTTCATCCAGCCCTCTGCACACGGGTTAATGTTAATGAGCATCAAGCCCTCCACCATGTTAGGATAGTCCAGCTGAACAAGAACAATGCTTTATTAAGGAATAGAAAAGTTTTGCATTATACATTTTACTACCATTTTTTTATACATTTTTATTAATTATTAAAATTAGTATTGTTGTATTTTATATACTTTTTTTCAGTCTGGAGAACGGTGTGTTAGAGAGTGGGAGTTGCCGTTCGGCTATACATTTTTTGTCAATGCTGTCATTGCGTATTCACGTTTTTCTTCTAAATGTTTTGGGTTAATAAATGTTGGATTAGGAAAATGCACTTAAGTTATTTTCTTGGTGCAGGTCTGTCATCAGAAGACACTGCAGTTTTATTTGAAATGGAATAAACATGTGTAGCTTTCAAATTTAGTTCACGTTTAAGAATAGATTCTACAACATTTATGGACATTTATCAAAATTTATGGACATTGGTAATTGTATTTTTTGTGTTTGGACTGTTTGATTCTCCGATCTGTGTTAGTGATTTCAACGATTTTGTTCTCTGAGATAACTGCTGTTGTGATTTAGGGCAATACAAGAATACATTGAACTGAATTGAATTTAGTTTTAGTGCCAGGACCAATTATTCACATTTCTATAGACACACAGCACACCCTCTACCAGAAAAGATACAATGTTATTCTTTTTTTTTGTATTTTAACTGTTTTCTGTCCTATTTGCACCTTTAAATTATGGCATTGTAGCTACATCCACAAAAGCAGATTCCATACAGATCCTAGTTCAAGCACAATTGTGGGGCTCGACAGACGGATGCAAAAAGAGGTAAACCTTTTCTTTTAATCCACAACAAGATCCCGGGCTAATCCCAAACTGATTAAACTACAAGACGAAATGAAAACTTGGTTAAAAAGCGAAGCAACTTACAGCAAATTGAGTCAAAATGTAAGCGCCAGCTCCAGTGCCCATCCCAATGACGCTCTTCAGCCTGGAGGCACAGACATACAAGGGGACTGTTAGAAAACGGTTAGAAAATATCTTCAAATGTGAAAAGATGAACGTGGATTCTGAAAAGTCAAGTTACCCAAAATGCTTGAGCACCAGGGGGAGGGTCTCTGCCAGCTGATCCATTGAGGGGTATTCATATCTGCAGGTCATGACACAGCGGTTAGACACGTGAGTAAGTGTACAAACAGATAATGTGCCCTTGATAAATTAGGTTGCCTTAAGTTCATCCGCTTTGATCTTTGCGTTCTAAGGCAAAGGCCAGGGACGACCTGACACACATTCTTGGTGGTGGTTTGTGTGCGTCTGCCTCACCCGGTGGAAAAGGTGTTGGCTCCTTCGTGTTGGCCGGGAGCGTCTACATGGCACACGGCAAAGTGCTGCATGATCTCCGACATGTCCTCGTGGTTGAAAAGGTTGTCCCAGCAGGTTTTGTCTGCGAAAAAACACAGTCCATGAACAAAAAAAGGAACTTGGTAAATAAACGGTTTAATCTTAGAGAAGCTTCAAAATGCTGTATTCTTCAGTTTTTATAGGTTGATTGTGTTTGATCTGATCTGAAATGCTATTCAGTGACTTTTAGGGCTCGAAGAAGCAAATTACTTAATCACAACTAATTGATTATTGAAGATACTGAATAATCTTATAAACAATATAAATGATCAATAATTAAATTAAAAACCTGCCGTGAAGAGGTTAAAGACTCAAACTGAGCTGTACTTAGCAGCAGAATAGTTTATATTTGATTAGGATTTGATTATTTAAATCAAAAAAGCTTTTTTATTTCAACCTTTATGGACATTTATCAAGTGGCCTTGCATTAGTTTTGTTTAGGTCAAATGTATTTAAGAAAAATATTTAAAATAATTTGTATTTGAATTGTGTGTATACGATTCCTGTATCCACTTGCCTTTTGTGATCAAAACAACTAATTGATTATTAAAATAGTCGTTAATAACAGCCCTGCCTCTTTTGGATTAGTGAAAACATGAATGAACTGCGCGGAAGGACTTACGATTGAGTCCGATGTCGTGGTAGGTGAGAATAACAGGCCTTTCCCCTTTAGGGGCCCCTTTCATCGTACAGTGGACCCTCCCGTGTGGCGTCTCCACATCGTGCTCCTGACGGAAAACACCGCTTTAATTTATCTCCACAATAATAAAAGACACTAGAGCAAAGACAGGGTGAATACTAAGAATGCTTTGTGGCTGACGGGCTACGTGGATATATTTATATTATATTCAGTTTCTGCACAACAAGGATCAAAAGTCTAAGTGAGATTTAATGAGAATTGGACATGTCGTGAGTGAATACTTATGTAGATTATATATATTATATGTAGATTGAACAGGTATCAGTAGAGTGTGAGGGATAATAGTGTCATTCTAAGCAAAGGATGGGTTTGGACATTATAACGACACCAACACATCAGAATCAGCTTCACACACACAATAGTCCACGTACATTAAACTGCATGAAACACGACTTTCACAGATTCTACAACTTAGATAACTCCTTTTACTCACAGCCTCTTCTATTTCTGCAGCAATAATCATCTCCACATCAGAGTCTTCCAGAACCATGTTTGCGGCTGAATCTCCAAACTAAATGCCTTCAGATGAAACGTTAGCGTGGCTTACGTGCTTAAGCTTAGGAAGTTGTGATGACCAACTACGATAGCTGCGTTTTATACCCCTGTTGCTTACCAGGCGCATAAGCTGCTGGCCTCCCATGGTGCATTGCAGGCTGGTCAAAACAAGCTAATTCTGGATGAAGAGATCCTTAAATTGGATCAGCCAATGTCAGACTGAGAATGACAAGTGGACACTACGTGCGTAAAAGATGAATTAATATAAAGAAAATCTGCCCCCTGTCTTTTCAGAAGGGGGCCCTCGATGCTGAGGAATGATGAAGGGAATAATTTGAGTATTTATAATCTATTGTGTTGTATGACCCAATTACACATTAATCATTGAATTTGTGTCAAATAAAAGATTAAATACAGTGAAACATTTGGGGGTGCATATTACACACAAGTTCAAACTTAAATCTTATTTTAGAAAGATAACAAATGATGTAAATATTAATTGTAACAGTTGAAAGAGTAAAGGTCCTACAGAATGTATTCACAGAATAATCGAGTGTCCTACCACCTACAAACAAACACTATATGATCAAAGAAATTCAATATATATTTTCACCAAATATTTGGTGAAATATTAGACAACAACGAGACCCATAACCAGTCGTACTGGAGAAATCAAAGACATGCTATGAACCGGGTCATGTCCTAAACCAGTTGGAGCTGAATGGGATCATCAGATCTGCAGGACACTTCCTCCACAGTCACAGAAAACACTTTAGAACTTCAAAGAGCTTTACATGCTAAGCATTACATATGCTGCTTTCTGATTTCAATAGATCAAAACAGACTTGTGACCTGCGCTCCGCAGTACAAGCTACTACACATACCAGCAAACCGGTCTGGTGCCCAAGGGCAGAAAGTACCAGCCTTCTGCTGCAACAGTAACTTTGAGAATTGTTCAGATGGGAATATAACGTTAGATTATAGTACTCCTCTGAAAGAAGAAGAAATCATGTCGGGAAGTTTGACAATGCATTTCATCACTGTTAAAGACCAATTGAATTAAGATAATCCAATATAGATCATTGCTTTGTGACATCACTGTGACACAGTCATCAGAGAGATAAAGGGCCGCTGAGTCCAGGACATCGATCACTGCGATAGCATTTCATCTGCTGCGCCACAAGATGGTTCCACAAAGAACTTTAACTTGTTTTCCTAAACAAACCTACAATTTAGCATTTAACACCCTGTCATTTTCACCATTCCACAATGTCTAAACTCTGAGGGAATATAATCTGTTATGTAAGTATCTAAAACAGAGATATTTCCATGAAAATGTGCCATCAGGAGGCCCTTCTACAAATACAAGTCAGGTTTGTGAGAGTGAAGCCCATTCACTGCTAGGACACGTGTTTTTAGACTTTTTAGAAAAAGAACAGTTTAAAAATTCTCTCATTTAGGCTAATAATATAAACATGAATCTGAAAGAACTCTTACCTTTACAACTAGTTGCATCACAGCTTCTCTCAGGCCCTGAGAAAGAAGAACAGTGATGAAAACACAAAACTAAACTAATGTAATTAAATTGTAACCTTCTCTAATCTAATCATCTGCAGCCTTCATCCTGTCTGCGTCTATGAAACGACCAAATGCCTCGTGCACAGTTCATACTATTACACCGATACAAATCCATGAAATATAGATATTACACAACAAACACATAAACATAATCTTTGATCTGCTACTATTGATGTTCAAATGTGCACTTAGTAAAAGACTCACGGGGAGCTCCTTGTCGACCAGCAGAGGCTTGCACTCAACACTCTGGACGCCGTCCATGTCCGCGGCTGGAGTCTGTGGACACAAGTACAGTTTCCACACTGAGTATCACGCTGCAGGGAGTACGTGACTAGTGCTTCTGCTTCCTGGGTGTGTTTCTGTCATTAGTGTATATCATGCACAGGACATGTAGCAGCTGGCACCGTTACCTGCTGCGACATGAGAGGAACGCACCCACAGGAGGGAAAGTTTACCTCCACAGCCTCTCCACAAACAAACGAGTGAATCTACTGCTGGGGACCATTCACTGATGGGACAACTGTTGTAAGGAGGTTATTGCTTGGAAGGTCGCCCAGTAAAGTTTAAAATATTCAGCGATTATGGATGATTTTTGTGCTTAAAAACTGATTTCCTACTGCGAAGGAAGAAGATAAAGTAAATGGAAAGTTTATTGCCATAATGTAGAACCAGTCCAACATAAATCTGTTAAAATGTGGTGAGCCCGAGCAAAAAGCAGATCCTACATTCTCAAACCACACATTTCAACACATTTTTATTGTTTGAGAGAACCCTGCAAAAAGAAAAAACAAGATTGCATATAATTTTCAACAACGTAGAAGTATTTCTAAGAGCTTAGTTTTCGGGAGAGGAGAGACAAAGACCTGCAAACGGCCAAGAGCAGGAGAAAAAACACGGGGTTGTGTGGAGATGCCAGAGTTTGTTCTGATCATGAAGTTAAATTGGAGGAGAGTGAACGAGCGGTGGTTTTGCATGCAAATCGAACCAGCCTCTCAACGGAGGTCTTTGTGCTTTGGTCCCAGCACCGCCCTGGGAGCCAAAAGTCTGTTTGGTCCAACACTGACCAGTGGAAATGCCCCAAAACCAGTTTTTTTTTTTTGATTTGCGCCTTTATCTGCTATTTGCTATTGCCCTTGTTGCCTCTTTCCAAGCATTCAAGTCATTCTTTAAATACCTCACAGTCCTGTCCCATGTGTAACTTGCGTGAATGTGTGTCTGTAAAAGGAGGTGGAAGTAAACGCCCTAGTCACACACACTGGCCCTCCACGCACACGCTCACAGAGAGATCAGATTAAGCTGGCTCTGACAATAGCAGAGGGAAGAGGAGTATCACACAACAGGTTCATTTTTCTACAGAGGCCTCCATAAACAGCAGCGTCTCACTCTCAGCACTGCGGGAGCTTTGTTGCAGAACAAGAGAGCAGCCCCCGTACAGATTCCAAGGACATGTGACCACTTTATGAAGACAAAAACCAAGCAATTTTTCATTTACATTCCTGGTGGAACTGTAACATGTGGATTGAAAAAGTAATTTTAAGGAATTCTATGAAGATTTTTTGTGTGCATGTTTTAGAACTTGTTTGCACCATAAGCCAAAGCAAATTCCTTATTTCTTGTTACTTACAAAGCCAATACAAAGAATTCTGATTCTGATTTAGTAATCAATAGTTTTTGTTTTTTTATACCTCTGCACCTACTCAAACATGCTGTGGTTTTATGACTCTGATAATTCTATAATGACTACAGACTGAACTAATGTGACTACAACCCAATGTGTAATAAGTTGTCTCAATAAATAAATGTATTTATTTACATAATACATTTACACAATCAATCAATCAATCAATCAATCTTTATTTATAGGGCGCTTTTCCTGCACAGGGCAACACAAAGCGCCTCACAGTCCACACCACACAATGCACAAATCATCACCATTAAAATACAATTAAAAACACATATGTAATTAAAAAGCATTAAAATCACATAAGTAATTTAAAAACATAAGAATCACACAAGTAATTAAAAACAATAAAATAGTTAAAAACACAAAAAGTTACAACAATAAATAACAAGGTGTGTTAAAAAGATAAAATTCTCTAGTTGTATGCACAGGAAAAAAGAAAAGTCTTTAACATGGATTTGAACATTGACAGAGAGGCAGCCAGTCTCACATCCTCAGGAAGACTGTTCCAGACTTTAGCTGCATAAATCTGAAAAGCAGCCTCCCCCTGTCTAGTCCTGACTCTGGGCACTAACAGGAGTCCCGTCCCTGCGCTCCTCAGAGTCCGGGCTGGTTCATATGGGACTAGCATATCATGGATGTACTTTGGTGCAAGGCCATGGAGAGACTTGTACACCAGGAGAGCTGCTTTAAAGTCTATCCTCTGGGCCACGGGAAGCCAGTGCAGAGACCTGAGGACCGGACTAATGTGGTCGTACTTCCTGGTTCTAGTCAGGACTCGGGCTGCAGCATTTTGAATATACTGCAGCTGTTTTACTGCATGTTTGGAGATACCTGTGAGCAGGCCATTGCAGTAATCCAGCCTACTGGAAACAAAAGAATGGATAAGAATCTCCAAGTCTGCCCTGGACACAATATTTTTAATTTTGGCAATATTTTTCAGATGATAAAAAGCTGCTGATGTTACCGATCCAATGTGGCTATTGAAGTTTAAGTCAGAGTCCATTATTACTCCCAGATTTCTGACCTTATTTAAAGGCCTTAGGGAGAGAGACTGAAGGTGACAAATGACGGTCTCTCTTTGTTTCTCGGGACCAAAGACAATCATTTCGGTTTTGTCCGCATTTAGCTGGAGAAAATTGCATTGCATCCACTCACTGATCCGCTGGATACAGCGAAGGAGTGAGTCCACCGGTGCATGCTCTCCTGCAGTCAGTGTTCAATACACAATACATTTTCTAAATTTCTCCTCCTTGTGAGATAAATAAATAATAAAGATGAAGATGTTCTCCAGGGGTATGACTTGACCTTTATTTTGGTCATGTGTCTACAATCCCATTTTCACGTTTGGGATCTAAACACATATATGATTAATCAAGGAAACAATTGGCCCAACGAATCGATTACCGTAATAATCTTTAATGACAGGCCTACTTTCTAACAAGACGACTGTCACAATAATAATCTATATTTTGAGGCTCAATAAATTTCAACGGTATATTTTCTTCCAGATGCTAGCCATTTTATTTGCAACACAATCCAGTTTTAGCTGTAGCTGTAGTGTTTAATATTACCCTCATATTACACCTTTCTAAAGTTTATTTCTGTGCCAGACTTTTCATCAAAATGCTGCTATCAAAGAACTAATTTACGGGGGTTACGCTGCTGTATTGTAAATGTTTAAAAGGCATAAAAGAAGTTCCAATATTGTGCAAACGTGTTAACCAATAAATTAGATGATTACAAAGTATCAAATTAATGTTCAACTTCATCATTATTAGACCTCTATAACCTGCTTGCTCGGTGCCAGCTACAATCTCCATGATCTAGGCCACATGATAACCCAGAGATGTTCCTGAGCTAATGTTTGACCTGGCTGAAGTCTAGTGGAGCAGAGGTGGTGTTCAACGGCTGAAAATGTAAACCTCATGAACCGTGAATGCACTGCCAAATTTCATCGTGATTGTTGAAAGATCACAGATGTTGATGTGGTTTTGATTCAAGACTTAAAAGCAGTCTATCTGAATCATTGGCTATGGTTCATCGGCGACCCAGTGTTACCATGAAGATGATAACGGTTCGTACGATTTGAGTAAATGAAAATGTGGAAAAGGCATGATTCGACGGCGGACCAGCAAATAACAGAATGCAGTCACACATTTTTGGTTGAGGCAGAAATGAAACCATGTTGTGCAATCATTAACAGGAAATAGTGGGAGGATACAGGCTGGGACCATCCACAAAGAATGGCCTCGAATGAACTGGAATGTTTTAAATCAGCCATAAAAAGACGTATTTGTGTTTTGTACCTCAGAGATAGACATTTGAAAAGTGAAACATACGAGCCATTAGGCCAAGTACATTATGTCCTGTAAGAAGTGAATCAAACCGTTTCAGCGAGAGCATTCATGTCATAAGAGCTGCCATGAAGACAAAAATGTGAAAGAAGTTTACAGTAAAATTAGATTATTTGGCAACTCTGACTATTTAGGGTGGGGGTGGAGTCCTGGTCATACACGTACACTTACAGTAGTTTCTATACAGTTTTAAATCCACAAGCCATCCATCTGCAAAACAATGATTGCTTCTCTAATCTTTGGGAACTTTGCTTAATCTGTCAAATCCCTAGTTCTGAAAAATCAGCAAGGCATCAGCAGCAGCAGCAGCAGCAGCAGCAGGAGGGCAGGGCTGCTGCAGTAAGCTGTCCTACATTTGGAACAGATATCATGTTGTAAAGTCTCTTTCTCACAGGGGGGTCTGTGTGGGACAGAAGGCAAACGTGTTCAAACAAAACAGCGGACGCGCCCACTCCGCCTGCAAGTTCTCGTCTGGTCAGGTTCGTCACATTCTGCTACAAAAAACTTCAGGGCATGTCTGGCTTGTGAATGAGTTGTGCTGATTTTTTAATTCACAGGAAGCTTAGGATATACACATTTTATAGAGCATAAGATATGTGCAGGCTGTGTTTATTTATATCAGGCCTAAACCTCTTATACATCATTCTCAACATCTGCAACTTGCATCTCACTAGGCCCCATCATGCACTAATATGTATTTAATAATCTATAACATGCTAAATGTATTTTGACAACAAACAAATATGGTAAAAGTCAACTTGATGGAAAAACAACTTACCTATAAAACTGTGATTGTCCCGAGGTAACACTTCCACAACAGGCTTCGAACTAAAGTTTCCCTGGTGTCTGATGGCTTTGTGCCGTGCTCTTTGTTTACAAGTGAGATGCGGACGTCTGGGTGAAGTTTATAAAGCTTTGGGATCGTGGCCACGCCCACTCCTCTCTCCATTGGAGCGCAGCTGGACGTGGGTCAGGGCGCGTACCCACTACCCAGCAGCCTCTGTACGGCTCCGTCCTGTCTTTGGACTTTAACTGCGAGTCTAGTAACATACAAGAGACAGACAATTGCGGACAACATACAGGAATCCCCAAACACATTCTATAGCACCATTACAACATGCAGCAGCAGGCAGACAGAGCTCTCCACTGTCCTCACATCTGTGTCTGGGATGCAGATTGTAACATTGCTGCCAGTTTTGTAATCAGGTTTGTTATCATTATGT